GCCAGCAACAGCCTCTGGTTCCGCTCCAGCTGCGACGGTCACCCGAGAGACGAGCAATCTGCGTGCCCAGCTGCGCAGCTTTCTGCACCACAGCGTCTTCGAGGGTGAGTCCGTCAATCCGGATACGATGCGTCTGGCTGTGGGGCGAGCTCTGGACTGGTTCGGCGACAATCTGCTCTTTCTGCGCCAATACGAACGACCGGAATACAATTCTCGTGATTCCGTTTGCAATACGCTGCGCCAGAGCCTAAATCGGATCATCAAGCTGTGCTACGGCAACAGCTGCAGCACCCACTTCGAACATCAGCTTAAGCAAATTTGCGATCAGTTCCGGAAGCGATTATATAGCGTGCTCTTCCTGTGCCTTGGCAGTAACAATGCGGAGCTCTACTGGCGTCAACTGATGGGCCGGCTCAGCGCACCACTGCGTTTTAGTAAGTGAAGTAGTTTTGGCTTAGATTGTGGCTAACTAACATTATGACCCTCTTTTCAGATTTCCGCAATGAAGCCTTGCAGTTCTTATGCATCTACATTGATCCAACAATACCTGCAACGACGGATACCGCCGATGCTCAACAGTTCCTGGTACTACGCAATGCACTGACAACGAACACAGATGCCGATGTAAGTCAGAGAATGAATTGTTGAGCAGCTGCTTAAAGCGCTAACTAATAGGAACCTTTTGTGTGGCCACCTCTACTTGCTTTTCCTTCACAGCCACAGCCGGCACAACAATCACTCGACACCGACATTGAAATGGCCGAAGCAGCCGGCAGCAGCAGCAGTAGCAACAATGCCACAGAGATCGAGCCACCCTTACCCGCTGTGACAGTCGGCTCGGAGCCTTGGCACACTAATTTCCCCAATGACTGGCTGCCTGTGATAACACGGGATCTGCAGACACAAACAGAGGTGAGTGGACAGAGTAAGAATGAAAACAATTAGTTTAATCACTATCTCGATTGTCTTCCAGCAAACCCGGCCACAGCCTCCGTACTCCGATGCATATATATCAGGCATGTCTGCCAAGCGTCGCAAGATCATCCAAACAGAGAAGCCAGCAAATGTTGAGTGTCTAATTTCAAGCGGAGTGCAACGCGCTCTACAAAGCTCCGGTCTCGCTGGCACGAATGGTGCAGCCGGCAACGTGAATCCCACTATTAATCCGGATGTTGTGATCAACGCCATAGCACATGATGCCGTTGTACAGGCATCTTATACGGAGGCTGTGCGTAGCAATGCACGCGAACGCCTTAAACAGGATATTGATTATAAGCCAAGCAAATATCCGCAAATCACCAAGTTTACTGAGCAAAAGTAGGCCGGGTGGGGGATTTTAACGTGGGCGTTGGGCGTGGACGTGAATGAAGCGTGCTTTAGTGTGCTTTATATTGTAAATCTTACTTTAATATCGAAATATTATATTTGATATTTAGTTAATTGGATAAGTTCTGTAGCCGTTCGGTCACACGAAGTGCTCGGCTGTGGATGCTTCAAAACACACACATACACACACACTTATATATTTATATATACACTATATAAAGCTGATATACATGCATACACACACGATCACACACACACACATAATCAACTGCAAGAAACTACACGAAATTGATGGTCGAAGTTTTTTAGGACAACTCTGCATAAAAAGAAAGCTAAATAAAAGTACATACATACACAAAAACCAATTCTGTTCCATTATCGGTCGACTATATACTATATAGTTGATTGATCCAATGGCGTCCCCGTGGCGAATGACGCAGTGGCCAGGCGGCAGACAAAGCCGTGACGACAGCCAAATACCAAATTCCAGCCAAATATTTTTGCCATAAATAAACAGCCAGGCCCCAATTGACGTGATTTCGATTTTAGGGCTATCAATTTTGGCACATGATCATTTCCGTTGCGGATCAAACTCTGGAATTTTGCAGTATCTTCGTCAATCACTCGAGTGGAATTCGAATTACAACAACTATCAAAGAAATCAGCTAAAAAAGAAAGAAGAAAAGAACAAAAATATATTTCACATGAGAAAGCGAAACACGAAAAATTTGTCAAATTAAAAAATGTTGTGAAATGTGAAATATTTATGTGACAGCAACACAAATATGAATAAATAATAATTCATAATTGTTGCTGTTGTTTGCTGTTGTTGATTTAGGCATGATTGAAATTTAAAAATAGCTCAGCTACGCAATCTTCGTATATTTATAATACGTTTTATCGATTATTTATAAATATGTAATTAGTCCTCATCTATTTGCCAGAAGTGGGCGTGTAACGGTCACACTAAAAATAACCGTCCATGCCATTTGCTCACAAGGCGAAGACGGCGACAGAGATTGAGATTGAGTTTGAGTTGAGGTTTCGCTGCGAATCACAAGAAAATTGCCAACAACCATGATTAATTGCTGCAGGAGCTATAGAAGCAGCAACAGCGGCAGTCGTAGTAGTTGGGCGCAAGGGCGAGCAACCGGGTAAATGAGAGGGGCGATGCAGGCAGAGGCTGTGATGGGGCACATTGGCACGCGCATTGCAGCCGGCAGGAATTTCGTGCGGAATTCGCCGCGACAGACGGCATTTTTAAGGGGGCTTTGGTTAATTATGTATGCGCTGTGCTCAGCCACAACTTCAAAATAAATTAAGACTGCGGACTTTGATGCATGGTGCATGCTGCTGCTGCTGCTGCCCCCTTGTTCATCAACTGGCACCGTACTCGTTTCAATGTGGCGCCTGGCAAGCTGCAACGAGGTGGCGCCACAGTTGCCACAGTAGCCAATTATTGTTGATTTATTTTTCGCGAGTACGCTGAAAACTTTTGGCTGTGACTGCCGCTGCAATTAAGTACCAAATTAAATACTTATTAAATACTAAGCGCGGCTTATCGACAATCGATATCTAGCTCAAAATGGTTAACTATTCACCGTTATTGCTATTTTGCATGCATGCATAAAATTAGAGCGAGCAGGCGACGGGAATACCTTGTAAATTGGCTGATGAAATTTAACAACTAGAAATTGCCATTTAATAATTAATAATAAGATTAGATGAAAGGTATTTAGATTTAAAATGTTCAATAAAAAATTGTTGAAAAATACAATAAGCTTTAGAATATATTATATTCTCAAGTAGTTTTACATAGCTTAACTTAAAGAGCTTAAGTTTCGTACAGAGTATATACATATCTAAGCTTAGTTAGCCGAATTTCACTTGCCTTAACATTTCTATATGCATGTAGGGTATCCAATGCGTCTGCCAAATGTGTAGAATCTTCACGCATGATTATCATCGATGAGGCGGCACACGAACAACAACAAAATCATAACAAGCCGGCTCATTCAGCCGTTGTGCAGTTGAGAACGTCATAATTGAAAACATTGCTCAAAAGATGCTCAGATAAAAGATGCTGCGTACAAATAAAACTGATTTTCAAAACGCATGTGGCAGCCGCCGCTGGCATGTGTGTGTGAGTAAAGGACAATATATCAGCAGTGCGTAAGAGTAGAAGCAAGAGTTTGTAAACACATGATGTTGATAATGGTGCCCCCATACATAGATATGTATATGTATATATATGTATATGCGTGGCATGGCATGGCCTGCTGCCTAGGTTCCTAAGAAACTCAACTTACAAACATGCCACATGTGGCAGCAACACCCATCTCAGTTGTTGCTGCTGCTGCTGCTACTGCGGCTGGTGCTGCTCAAAGGGGGCAATACGAAAAACATCACGCACCAAAAACAGACAGCGGCGCCAGCTACTCAGATTGAGATTGAAAAGACAGGAATACATGTAATTGAGTGTTTGCTTGAACAATTACATAGCCTAACAGTCAGTGGCAGCAGCAGCAGCAGCAGCAGAAGCACCGTCAGCAGTGGCAATTGTGGCAGCAGCAGCAACTTGCAATACTTTGTGGCCAAAAGAGAAAACTTTTGCATTCAAAAGCGCGCTCAAAGTTCTCAAGGCATCAACAACAGCAGCAGTAGCAGCATCAACAACAGCAGCAGCAATAGCAATACCAACAACAACAGTCAAGACAGCAACAGTAGCAGCAGCATGCGCAGTCGCTGCCGCTGCCCGCGTCGACGTCAACGTCGCTGCTGGCGACGCAGCCAACAAACGGATCCTCAGCGTTTCCATTATTTTTCCCAGTCGCAAACGGACCGTGTTGGGCTATAGACGTGAGCAACGGGGCTCCAGAAAAAACGTTGAGTGCTATAAAGAACAACATAATATACGAATACAAATATATATATATAATATATATATATTATATATATATATATACAGCATATGTAGAATAATAATACTATATAGAAATCGACTCCACACTTCACACTCACAATCTCGCTCAATACGCGCGGCTTAAAAAAATATAAATCAAAAAAAGTAAATAAAATATATAGAGACATCCACACACACACACACATATACAGAGAGAGTGAGAAATCAATATAGAGTGTGTACGGGTGTGTGTGCAAGTGTGTGCGTGTGTGTTATTTTATTTTTTGTTTTGTTCTTAGAAGATTAATACATAGATGTGCGTGTCAAGAGGTCAAACAAACGATTGAGCATTGCAGTCCACATTTGAAACACAGAACTCTCACATCTGGGTTTCTGCTTCTTCTGCTGTTTTTTTTTGGTTTTTGACTTTTTGTCGCGTGAAACTCGATGCCGGCCAAAAAGTGAACGGGAAAAACGGTTCTAATAACGGTCCTAAAAAGTCGACAACATATCGAAAAATCGAGTGAAAGAGAAAGGGAGAGAGAGAGAGCGAGAGAGAGAAAAAGAAAAACCGAAACCCAAGTATGGAAACTCCGGCACATATGTTCGCATCCGTATAGCAAACGTGTACAGACAGTTTTTTCCCACCAAAAACATTTTCGACTGCCTGCAGTCGCTCAGCGCATAGCGAAATCCTGTGAACCGTGAAATCGAAATCTAAATCGGAAAAAGTTTTCAAGTCTCCTCAACATAAACCGCACTCGACATCAATATGGCTTCTGTTATGTACGCCGTATTCCATTTTGCTGCGTTGCAGTGCTCGGCCCGTCCGGAGATATCGCCGTGCACGTGCGAAATGGGCAAAGCCTTCAACCACGTCGAGCTCGCCTGCGAGAAGCTCGAGTCCTTCAACGCTGTCGTCGACAGCCTGGCCAATAAGCTGAACGCCGATGTGAATATCGATCTGAAAATAACCCATTCGCAACTGGACGATCTGGAGATGAGATCGTTCAGGGATATGAACTTTAACATCTACAAGCTGCGCATGCAATGGAACGGACTAAGGTGCGTGGTTAGCTCTTAGAATATGTTAATAGAAAATGGAAATGTGATCTGTATGCCTGCATAAAAGATGTATTTGGTTAATAAGATTTAAGATTGTTTATAGAAACGATATTTTGGGGCTGAAATTTTTTAAAATTGTGAGTGGTACGACTTAAGTTACGAATTTCATCGGGCTTAAATAAGTATATAGAAACAACAATCTGTATTAAAACTATTAAAGTTTTGACTTAGGACTCTCTGGTTAGGCTTTCCTGTCAAACCTTACCTCCTTCGGCTGCTGTGGGATAAACTCATAGAGAAGAGAAGCGGGTGCTGCGGACCTGTCGTATAATTGTGTATTTCTTGGGTTCGAATTGGCTCGAATCTTTCTTTTATTTGTTCCAAAAATCCATCTCACTCTATACTCTAAAACGTCGCCAAACTTCCTAAGACTTCTTAGGTCTTCCGACGTCTTCCCAAGGCTTTCTTTATACTTCTTGACTAAAGTCATTCCAATTTGATAGTTTTCCAACATAAACATGGTCTTAGCTCTTCTGCCTAGACTTGATTCTCAAGCCTTTCACAGCTATCAAGGCTAGGCTACCTCAAAAATGGTGCCTTGGGTCATTGTCTGGATTTTCTTCTCTGATTATTTCCTGAACACTTCATAACATTTTGGGATTGCATAACAAACGCAGCTTACTAATGGAAATTCCCACATTCTAACGGTTTCATTGAAGAGTCTCGCCTCCAGGGTTTACCCCTAAAAAGTTGTTTTCATATGAAACCCCCGCGAAATTCAATAATCGGCTAAATTTCAAGGTCGCGAATGTCTTCCTATCTGAGCAACGTACAGAATTTTCCGTAGGCTGGCTATCAATTTAGGTTCCTTAAACTCAATCAAACCAAAGAAAAACAACAACAAAATTTACGAAAATACGAGTACAATGTACTTAAGCACAATAAAAAAGAAGCAAACAAGAAGCAAAATGCAAAAACAATAATAATGAGAAAATGCGCTTCACTTGTTTCGCGGTCAATTTCCTAGCTGTCATATGATGGGTAGATATATGGGATCCAAAACGAGTATAATTAGCTGCACTTCAATTGAGGCTCAATTGGGCAGACCTGGTTCTGGGATCTAATTATGACCTGGCCGAAGTAAATGATTTAATTTTTCAATTAGAAATTAGCCGAGCTGAACTGAGCTGAGCTGGGATCCACCTCATGCAATTGAGACAAATTACAACTAGTTTCGGGCTGGTTGCGACACGCGTTTCGAACATATTTTTTTTCCTCGACTCAAGACTCAAGATTAGATCCTCAACTAGACGAGCGAGCCAAACAAACGTTTAGCTTCGTGCTTCGATTGTTGATACTTGAATGGCTGCGACCGAGTGGCTTATCAATTATTTTCTATATAAACACGCACACACACATATATATATATAGACACGGGCATATATAGTAAATCCCCAGAGACATCCGACGTATACTTAATGCGTATGCAAAACTGATAATTGCAATTGGATTCGATTCTGGTTCTGGCAGCGAGCGAGCGAGCTGCACGTTTTCACCGCTCAGTCGCAGACTCTGAATGAATTTCAATTTGAAACACTCACAAACACACACACACACACATGCACTTACAGTATTAATAGCAAATATAAATAACCATATCAGAATATATACACAAATATATATAAGTAATATTATATTCAGGCCTATTTCATAAGCGGGGTTCATTGATATTTGACTCCTGCGCCTAATGAGCTGCCAATTCAATTAAAAACAATAAAAATTACAGATACAGTGCAATATATACACACAAATATATATGTGTATATATGTATATGTGTGTGTTTGTAGTATATAGCATTTCTGTACACTTCTGTGCATAGAAATCGATTAACTGCCAAGTTCTGGATGGGTTATACAATTGGCTGACTTTTGCTTTATCAGCGGACAGCATCATTTGTCAAACGTCATCTCTCCATCAGTTGCAATTTGTATGTAAAAAAAACTTGGAAAAATGATTTAATTACTAGAACCTAATCGAATCAGTGCTATATACGCATACATACATATTAAGTACACTCGAAGAAAATATGCTTAGTTAAGTAAGAATTTGAGTAAAGCTTAAGAAGTTTTAAATTTTCAGTTGAAATATATTGCTTTAAGCTCTTCAAGTTTAAAGTAATATAATATTGTTACACTGAAAACAATTTAACAGCATTCTCATTAAATTATTTCATGACAACTTCTGAATAAAAAGAGTTATTTTTAACAAAATTAATTTTATTACAACTTAAAAATTTGTTTGCAATAAAATCTTATTATAAAGAGTTATAAAACTCTGAAAAATGCTGACAAAACTTTCATTAAAATATATAAAAAAAATATTTCTTAAAGATCTATCCAAAAATGTTGCCTTAGACAAGATTTTTTGACTACAACTCTCTTCAGTTTTTTTTCTCAGTGTAGCGCATATGCAACGCCGATTCGGTTCGATTCCATTCGACTTGGGTCGCCAGCGCGTGCTGCCTGAAAAGTGTTCTTTTTTCCGTTCGTTCTTTTTTACATTGATGTCAATTTAATATAATTGACCTATTGCCTTAATATCGCGCTCTGACCAAATCATTCCAGGCCAGGCCACATCACAGCGCCAGGAAAAGCACATGTGCTGCAAGTGAGTGTGCCTGCTTGTGTGTGTGTGTGTGTGTGTGTGTGTGTGTGTGCTATGCTTATGACTCGCTTAGGCAGCGCGTGGCAATCCGCTGCGAAATCCGTTCAAAATCTTTGGCTTTTCTCTGGAAATTGATTTGGCTTGAGTTGCAAGAGCTTTCAAGCGCTACGAACTGATTCCAATTATACATAAATCAAAATATATTTTTGGCACAGTAATGTCACACTATGTATATCGATTTGAAAATAAAGTCGGAATATTCTACTCAGTCATCTAAAGAACAAATGCAAATAATTTATAGCAGGCAATTAAATTTTAATACTACTCCCTGTTCTCATCTGTTCCATTTGATTCCTAATATATTATATAAAATTATATTTTATTATTCATTTTCAACAATTGAAACTATATTTCGAAGTAACCTAATTTTATTTGCATTTTTTTTATATTTTATATTTTGAGTAGATCAGTTAGTCAGTTGGAGCTACTTCACATAAATATCTTAAAGTGGATTAATATATATTGTTAATGATTGAATGAGAAGATACCCTAAACACTTTCTATAGTTGCCTTTTCAAGAACTCTATTTAAAGCATAAATGGAACAGGTATTCAAAAACATAGACTTAATATCTAAAACTTTCATTATCAACGAGTTCAGCGGCTTAAAATTGAAAGCTCCATTAAATTTTCCTATCTTAACAAAATTTTGAAGAATGTTTGAGTAGGAGCTCAGGCACAGTTTAGGTAATTGTAAGATCTCCAAATATTGCCAACTAAAAACTACTTTCATTTCTTGACTTTAATTGCATTTGAACTAATGAAAATTGTTTTCCAGAAAGAGAAACTTCAGATTAGACAAACATATAGCTTCAAAATCAATAATAAAAATTAATTATGAAAAACTGTTTCAAAAATAATAAAATGGAGAAGAAAATAAGGGAAATATAACGTTGCAACTTACAATCCATATATAAATATATATTCAATATCTATATATGTATATTGAAATACATTATATATATGTATACTTCAGATACAAATATATATCTTTAGTAGAATTCTCAACTGTCTTAAGCATTGCTCAAAATTGAGTCAAATTTAAATAATTGTGATTATTTTCATGGCTTAGACCTTTACCCAGAGCCCTAAAAATGAAACCATATTAGTGGACATACATACACATACATATACATATTCATATATATTTATACATATATAATTCTATGGGCTCTGATAAGAGCAGCTGTTTTAATGGACTTGGGCTCGTCATAAGTTTATGACTGGCGCCAACTTGATAGATAATGTGATTTTAATGATCATTTTAACGATCGTCCACTGATCAAATTGTTGAAAAATTTTGTCAACAATTTTGGCTTTTTTTTGTGGGGTTTTCTAATGAAATTGTTGAAACTAGAGAAGAGTAAAAATTCTTCAGCTTGGGCACTGCAATGAGTTGAGCTTGGATGGCTCCATCGATGCATTGATCACTTTTATTTTGTTATGTGTTTTTCTCAGGCTGATAAGAGCCGAAGCCATGTCTAGAGAAGCCATATACTCGTCTTTATATACGCATATATGTCTGATTATACAGTTGAGGAGTAGTTCAGCCCTGACAAAAGTGCGAAAAAGTGTTGAGTACGATAGCTACATAATTTATTATGGAATATTCCGAGTACAAAACGTTTTCAGTGATAACGCAACAACTACTTGAATCGAGCGTGTATATGGTGTATATGTATATGTATATATGTATATGCTGTGCTTTAAGAAGAAGGTAAACAATCAACAAGAAAGTTTACACCAAACTTGGTTTATTATTTAGCTGAAAAACGAGCGAAAGAGAGAGTGAGTGGGAGAGAGAGGGATGGAGAAGCCTAATGAATACTTGGAAATGGAATGTTCCGTTGTTTCTGTTATTGTTATTTGTAATTGTTATTATTATTTTTTTTGTTTGTTTGTCTGCTTGGGGTCAGCTCAGTTTGTGCAAAAGAGCGAGCAGGCAGCCCGGCTAGAGTGAGAGAGAGAGAACGAGCGGGCTCCCAATTGAATTTTATTATTACGTTCAATCAATGATCAAGAGGCCAGCTTAGGTCGTGTGACAATTAAATGACTGACGTTAAGGAATTGTCTATATATATATATATAATATACTACATACATACATATATATATATATATATATATATCTCATTTTATATACATAGATATATAGCTGCTTATGTATCTGGCCTGATATGCGCTCAAGTTCAACGAGCGAACGCTGCCGTCTGCTTATTATAGATACAATACTCGTATCTATTGCAGTTGGCTGGCCAGGCCAGGCTAGGCTAGGCTAGCTAGCTGGCTGCATCATCATCATCATCATCATCCTTGCCTGGTTTTTTTTCCACATTACATAATCAACTGTTGGACAGGCGAGCTCGCAATCAATCAAGATCAAGTGTCTCGAGATCTAAAAATAGATGCCTGCCAATCAGTGGCAGGCTCTTTGGCTGCTGCCAATAACGGCGCCAAGGATGTCCACTGGCTGCCATCAAGCAATTTGCACGCCATCCAGATAGTCAGTCAGCTAGAAGTGGAAGCAGCAGCAGCCAGTTCCCAGCCCAGTTCCCATCATGAATAATGCGACCATTTGGCGCCCCGACGGCGACAACTTAATAGCCGCCTGCAGTCATCGATAAAGATATACAAACGCGAATAGAAAGCGGGGCAGATGCAGGGAGGCTTGCAGATGCGAATACAGATACAGGTATCCATATGATATAGCGACTTTTGGCTCGCTGATAAGCTCTGTCAGCGAAACTGTAGGAATGCAGTTGAAGATACAGATGAATATATAGATTTGGATATGGATACAGCTATGCAGATGCAGCTACAAATATTAAAACAGTTGCAGATGCAGATATAGATGACAATACAGCGACATAGATGCACTTGAAGATACAAATATTGATACAGATACAGATGAAGACATAGCTACATCTATAGATACTTAAACAGTTAAAGATACAGATGCGCAGATGCAGAGATACTTAGCTAACAATACAGACAGTTGCATATACATATAAAGATATAGTATCAATAAGTTAAAGATACGTAGGATGTAAATGGGAACACAGCTGCAGAAGCAGCTGAAGATAGAGATATAGATGAGCATTGATACAGATGCAGATACAGCTTGAGATGTAAAAGCTTCTGATAGATACAAATGCAGATACATATACTGCTACCAGCTAAACACAAAGATGCATATATGATAGAGATATGGATACCAATTCATAGATGTTGATGGGAACAGATGCAACTGAAGATAGAGGCGTGGATATATATGTAAAAGCTACGGATAGATACAGATGAGATGCGGACATAGATGAAGATGCAGTTGTAGACATTGAGCATACAGATTTAGATATAGCTATAGAGACAGCTATAGATACAGTCACAGATACAGATACTTATTTGTAAATGTGGGAACAGACTAAAAGGCAGATTTAGCTATGAATATATAGATACATCATGAAGCAGTTACAGATACATTTGGGTATGCTTATGCATATACAGATGCTCGCAGGCAATGAATATATAATTATATATATTCATATGCAAGACATTGATACAGATTCAGGTAAAGATACAGATATATATATGTATATATACACTTATACATATTCATATGCAAGATATAGATACAGACACAGATAAAGATACAGATATATATAAATACAGATCTATACATTCATGTTTAAAATAAAGATACAGTAAAAGATACAGATGCAGACTCACAAAGCAGAACCGAAGCAGTTGCAAATACAGCAACAACATTCGTATGCAAATCTATATACATTTAGCTATGCAGCACAGCTAGCTACAGATACACGTACTACAGATACATGAATAGCTACTACATATGCAACTCATTCATATATCCAATGACCGCTTTCAGCTGGTGTCATTCGCAGTTGTGCGCCAAAAAGTATGCAGCAGCAGAAAAGTTTACAATTGAATATCAAAAGTTCGTCTTCTACTCAAGTTTTGCATTGCTGCCGTTCAAGTAGCTAACTCTCTGGCTGGGCTGATACTAGCAAAGCGAGTATTCCCCAGTGGCAACTAAATATAGTCTTGGGGAGATAATGTAATTTTGTTATTGCCGAATGCCAAAGTAGGTCTGAGACTCTGTTATTCTAATATTTGCGCATATTGTAATGGCATTAATATATATATTCTATTTTTTGTGCTGTTTGTGGCTATTTATAGATCGCTGCCCGAGCTGCCATTTCGCGGGTTATCGAATGTCACCTACTTAAGCGTCGCCGACAACGAACTCGACGAGATTCCGAAGCACGTCTTGAATCATATGCCGCTGCTGCAGACCTTCGACATCAGCCGCTGCAACATACGAGTCGTGCAGCAGGAGGATCTCAGAGGCATTCAGAAGATCACGAATTTGATATTACCCAGCAATAATATAACTAGATTGGATCGTGGCGCCTTTCCGCTCAGCCTGCTCATCCTGCACTTGGGTCGAAATCAACTGGAATCGCTGAATGGATCGCTGGCCGAATTGACCAATCTCCACTCACTGTTTATCAATGCGAACAATATCAGCGATCTCGATAAGGAGCTACCCGACGGGAGTAAGCTGCGTCTGCTGATGGCGCACAACAATCGACTGGAGCATCTGCCCCTGAACATGGCCACCATGGACGATCTGGAGATCATTCATTTGCACTTCAATCGCTTGAGATCGTTCGATCGTGTGCTGCGGAACGCCCAGCACTTGACCGAGCTGCTCGCGAATAACAACGAGCTGGAGTTTTTGGCTCAGGATGAGTTTCAGTCGTGCCGGCAGTTGGATACGTTGAATCTGGCCTGCAATCATATCCGTTCGCTGAACTTCTCGCTGCATCCGATGGTGAAGCTGACGAGGGGCAACTTCTCGTTCAACGACATTGAGGAGTTCTCCATGGAGGAGCTGCACGGCATGCGCTCCCTCAGGGTACTCGATCTCTCCTACAATCGCATACAGCGTCTGCTGCCAGCCTACAAGCACAGCCCGGAGCTGGCGCTCATCGATCTGCGTCTCGATCACAATCAAATTATTACTCTGGACTCCGCTTTGGCGGGCTTAAGTCATCTGCGCATACTCAGCCTGCCAGAGAATCGAATCGAATACATACTCCCAGGAGACTTGAATGGCATGAATCGATTGGAAATACTCGATCTGACCGCCAATCAACTGGTCGAACTGAAGCAGCTGGAAACGGTGAGAATTTGAGAAACTCAAAGAACGTTTAGCTAAGCCTTAACTTCTCTTTAACTTCTCTCTGCAGACTCTGCTGCCCAGCTTGAAGATCCTGAAGGTGGCCTATAACAACATCACGAAGCTGGAGCGCGACTTCTACGGGCTGCCAATGCTCTGCCAGGTCAACCTGACCAACAATCAAATCTCGAGCATCTCCAGCGAACTCGTCACCAATACGCGCTGCAAGAATCACAATGTTCCTGGCAAATTGGAGATGTTTTTGGATGGTGAGTGAATAGTTTAGGGAGGGGGTGAGAAAATGAAGAGAGAGGGAGAGAGAGAGAGAGAGAGAGAGAGAGCTAGAGCTAGAGCTAGAGCTAGAGATAGCTAGATATATATATATATAAAAATATATATTGAGAAGATGGTGAGTGAATAGTTGAGATAGAGAGAGTGAGCGAAAGGGAGAGTGAGAGAGATAGAAAAAGAGACAGCGAAAGAGAAAACAAACGGAGAGAGAGTGAGAGATTGAGAAAAAAGGTATGAAAAAAAGATGGAGGGGAAAGAGAGATAGAAGAAGAGAGTGGGAATCTATAGATTGAGATAGAAGAATATGAGGGAGCTAGGGAGAAATATGGATATTATTATAGAAAGAAATCAAGGGACAGAAAGAAATACTTAAAAGAAAATGAGGTAGACAAAATGAAAGAGAGATAGAGAAAGAAAAAGAGAAAGAGATAGAAAAACAGTGGTAGAGAGAGAGAGAGAGAGAGAGAGGGAGAGAGAGAGAAAGGTAGAAAGAGATTAACAACGTTACGTATCTTGACTGAAACAGATATTCCGTATATCCCATGAAGATCTTTCGATTCCAGCTCCTTGTGCTTTGCTCTTCTTCTTCTTCTAGACTATCTATCTATGTTGCCTATCCATTCGCCTATCAGCCTTGCCTCTACCCCTTAGCGCCCTTGTCTTATTACGATGCGTATAATATAGAGATATCTAATATTAATGCTCACATTACCTCTATATAATACCCTTTAGACAATCCCATCATGTGTGATGTGCGCCTGAACGAGCTGTGCCGCTTGATGATCGCGCAGGATGCGCGCATTCGGGGCCGATCGCAGTGCTTTGAGAACGATCAGGAGGTGTGCACGGTGCTGCCAATGCTCTACAATTACGATTTGCCGCTGCTGGTGACCAAGCTGAAGATCGTCGATGCAGAGGATGCCAAGCCACTGGTCCAAATGCTCGTGCCCTCGCCCATCTTGATCAAGAACAAGGACGAGCTGCTGCCGCCGATAATTGCGACACTCGGACAGCCGTTGATCAATCCGGTCATAATAGCTGCACCACCGGTAGTGCCACCCACATTGCTGCTGGCCGCAGCCACAACCACGCCACCGTCTGCGCCAGTGCTCGAGGAAGCCAATACAACGAACCCAACAACAACAACAACAACAACAACAACGTCAACGACTTCGGCAACAACCACGACGACAACGTTTCCTCCTCCTATTAGTGCAGGTACAACACCCACTCCGGTTAATCCCATGGAAATGGTAACCACCACAGCACCAACCACGACAACCACCAGCACCACAACGCCGCAACCGAATGATACGCTGCCCGTTGTCCTGGACATCGAGGAGCCCAATCAGATGAAGCCGTCACAGATGAACGCCACAGCCGAAGCTGTGGAGCTGCCTCCAGGCTCGGTGCCAGAGCCGAAGCCGAAGCCGGCAGAGCAAACGGAGGCCGATACTGTGGCTAAGACAGAGTATGAGACGGTCGAGTATATACCGAATGTGGTGCTGGTGCCGACGCCGATGCCGATGCCGATGCCAGCGAGCAAATCGAATTTGCTCGATGAGGATGCCGATTCGCAGTCCAATTCGGTGCACGAGGAGTATCCGTCGGTGCTGCTCGGCGATGTGGAGCACGCGGCACAGAATCTGCAAATACCCGAAGAGCCGCCGGAGCAGTGAGGAGCCACAAAACGAAGAAGAAGAAGAAGAAATAACTAAATCTAAAAAAATACACAACACAAGAATTATTTAACTGTAAAGGCGCTGGCAGGCGTAGGCGTGGGCGTAGCGTGTTTTTGGGGGGCGTGGCATGCAACGTGAGAAAAGGAGAAACTTTTTTGGATTGTATGTCTTAAGTTAATCTAAGTTTAAACGCGAAATCGAATCGAACAAATAATATCAAAGCAAAGAGAAAGTTAAAAAAAAAAGCAGAAAATTTTCGAGCGGATCGACCCGAACAGACGAAAGGACGAACGAAACTTAGGACAGGCTTTAAGGTATAAGTCGAATGCTGGGCGGGTGGGGCACACAACTTGGGGGTGGGTACAGCTTGTCTGGCCAGTAGGAGGAGAGCGAATATAAATATTTAAATAACTGTATACACCATATACATACGTTGAAAAGTTTTACAAGTAGGTACTTAGAGTTAAACAAAAAAAAAAAAAACACAGAAATCCAGCAAAAAAAATAAATAAGCGAAAAGTTAATGTTAAAAGAGAAAAACGAACAAGCCACACACACATACACAAACAACCACATACACTCCCACACACACACACAACAGTAGCAACGCACATAAAAACACAGATTGAAATTATATATTGTTATCAGTTGGTTAACAAATGAATTTAGTTTGTAGCGCGTAATTATATAAATGAAAATGAAAATGGTATTCTAAATAAAGTCGTAAATAAAAACTTTGTTTCAATTTGAGCTCAAGTCAAAACTCAAATTCAAATGTCAAGTTTTAGCGCCCTTAAGAAAAATCGATAGCAAATAAATAACATTAGTGCTGTTAATTAACAGCACTCATGTACTGTACATTGTGTGGCGGCTTGCACATAGCACAACAGAGTTAGTTCACATCACTAACGATGTGCCTTCTTGCTGTAGTTGTATAATTATAAAAAATATAAAGTACTAACTAAAGTTTTTACTTTTAATTTTTTTTTTGTTTTTTGTTATTGAATTTTAACTTCTTATCGACAGTTTGGTTTTTTCATCGATAGCTGTTCACAAACAGTTGCACCTTCACTATTATATCGATATATCGTTTAACTTCTTTTATTTAGTTATACCATCGTCAGCGATAGGAGACGGAGCAAAACAGCAGCAGAAAAAGAAAGCAATCGCAAAAGCCATACAAAACAAGAAAATTCATTGCTCTGTTTCATATTATATTTGGCTAACAATTGTGTGTTTCGTGAAAAATTGTGTAAATAACGCGTACACTACAACTGCATATAATTGGTCTCCATTTCAATTTTGTTGACGTCGCCGTCTGTTGTCATCGTCTTGTGACTGTGTCGGGCATATAAAAAGAAAGTCGTAAAATATATAAAACTAGCTGGGAGGAGTAGTTGTCGTTGTTTCTTGGAGCCCCACACTCACACATATATATAATAGAAACACTATACACTAAACACTATATACACACACCTACACAGACACACGCACACACACTCAACAAACACGGACTAGCTAACTGCAGCAAGCGCAACGCACAGAGCGGAGAGAAGAAGTATTGCAGCAGGTAAGCGGACGTGGGCAGCGTTTGGGGCGAGCATTTCTCTTTAGTTTGCTTCTTTGTGTTTGTATTCTTTTTTTTATATTTTATTATTGGCAGCGAATACTGTAAACAAGGCGAGCATATTGTACATATACATGTATGTGTATGTGTATGAACGTCACAAATCTGTGCTTCACTTAACGGAAGTTGTTATTTTTGTTGTACATAAAGAAAATATTAACTTCGAGCTTCTTCATAGTTTTTGTAGTTGTAGTTCTGTTTTATTTATATATAAATGTATATTTTGTTGATAACAGTTGTTACTGTGTATTTTCGCCGGCTCGTTTCGCCGCCGCCTCGTCGCTTAGTCATAGCTGGAACTGGTTTATGTTGCCCATTTCGCCGCAATAGAAGTGACTAATGAATGAAGGTGTCTTTCTATATCAGGTGTCGATGCATACCAACACTTTAAATATAAATATACAAAAAAATGTACACACATACAAATTAATTTGAAATCTAATCGTAATTTTCGTTTTCGATTTGTTATCACAGAGTTATACACACACAAGCAGACGCACATGCACATAGAGGCACAGACGCACACAAACATACAATGCATACGCCCCATATTGAACGCCCGCATGCACAAAATGCAACATTAGTTATGAGAGAGAGAGCGACAAATGAGAGAGGCAGAGCGTTAGAGTATTAGAGAGCGAGTGCAAGATCAGAGACCTGCACAGTGGGCTACGCTATGCAAATGCTGACCTTCGGCTACACATACCCCCATTATCGATTCCACACATTCGCAATATTGCGCTAAACGATAAAACGGACAAGCCGCAAACAAAGGGGTTCATAATAGCATTAGACAACACACAAACAAAGAGCACGGAATATTTTCTCTAATGTGTGTGCTCGAGTGTGCTTGTTGTTGCTGGCCGCCATTTAAATCACATTCGTATCAATTCGCATCACGCACTCATTCGCCTGCTCAGTCTCGCTTGTGATCTCGATCTCGGCAAAGCTCTCGCCCGCTGCTGCGCTTCCGTTGCGCGAATTGTTTTTTAGCCAACGTTCATTGAACTTGACGTTGAATTCAAGGCTTCTCTGGTCGCAAGCTGTTCAGTTTATATCTAAATACATACACACAAACCAACACAGACCCTAATATATTTTTGGCAATAAAAACGTCGCTGTCGTCGTCGTCACTGCAAAAGTCAAGTGCAAAAATAAAGCGTCACAACAAAGAAAGTTCGCGTCGTAACAACCACCCCACAAATACGCCGTGCTTCCTCTCTCTTTCTTGCCGATGGCTTGTTGGGGTCTGGCATTCGGTTGTTCAAGTTCAGGCCAATGCACCTCCCCCTCATTTCCAATCCGTTTTCGTTTTTTTCTGTTTCTTGTGCGACATTTAATTGAATTATTCGTGTTGTCTTTACTTCTATTTTGCTGCAGCAAGCAGAGCGCGAGAGGAAACAAAACAAAACAAACAAACCGTTAACTACCGGCCCGCATTTCAACTATTCTCTCTGTCTCTCTCGTTGTCTGATCTGCACGCACGGCCCATTATTACAACTGAGCAGCGGTCAATGAATCCAGCAGCATTCACAAAAACATACTCTCACACAAAAACATACTCACATGCACAACATATACATATACATATAGACCCGTTCGACTAGTTTCGAACTCTGTGCTTTTCGAATTCGAAATCTGCACGAAGTTTCTTTTTAAGCCGGCTCCAATATGTGTCAAGTGCGTTCATCACTCACACTTCAGCGGCAACTACGCATTCCAACTCGTTCTAGATTCTAGATGTCGAAATATCTGTGTGCTCGCTTACCTGACTCTGGCTCTGAGTAACATCAAATAGAATAAATTCTTAATGTGCGCTGATATCTTATCAGCTTTAATTAGGCTACGTCGTAAACTCGCGTATGTGCGCGTTTATGTTTTTCTAGATCTCTGACGTGAATTGTGGATTAGCTTTAGTTTATATTCTACTCAACAGCCAAAGAACATTCGCAAAAAATTGTTTACAAATCATTAAAAGAAACAAAAAATCGTATTTAATTGTATTAGCACATGTGAAATTAGACTGTGATTTTTATGTATTTTCACATTGATTAGAATCCGAAGGTCATCGGCATAAACACCTTCCTTCGACTGTTTTCGATTTTCTGTCAGTGATAAAAAACGGTTATAATTATTTCTTATTGTGTTTTGCATAAAGCAGCTTAGCGGCAATTTTGCTCATTCCAAACAATTGCTATTTATAGCAAATACCACGACAATGGGTGGTCTGTTCGCTGCACTTTTCTGGCTTCTTTCCTGGAAAGGGTCTGTATTACCACGATCATGAGTCTTGCTATTTAATATTTACTGAAATTTCTGTATAACTGGCAGCTCCATGAGTGCAATTAGCATAGCAGTCTTATATTTTCTCTTATACAGGACCATTTCAACAACTAACCTGTATCTATCAGCTTTTGTCTGACAGTTTTTTGCACAGAGCATTTCGTTTTCGACTTCGTTCGCAGTTTCTTACTAGTTTTTGCTCGTTTGTTTATCTATTTTTGTTGTTGTGCAAATTGAATTACAAATACGCTCTCTATGTCACATAGGCGTGTGTAGGGTGCTGTGGTTCTATTCTAGACTTGAACTTGGGTCTGTTTCGAGCACTATTTAGTTTTCTTTTCTTATACGTTTCTATTTAAAGTTTATTAATTTTGTTGCACTTTCGTTTTAATGTGCCTTAACACTGCACAACATTTCTAACTCTATATATACATACATATATATCTATGTACTCTTATACTACGTATTTTGACTGTATTATCTTGTATCTCATACTTAGCTTGCTTTGGAGCACTTATAACAGCAAAACAAAAAAGCTAAAGAAAAATTCAAGCAATTAAAAAAACACCTTCTATATATAGCATATAGAGAAAGCAAAAAAACTACTTGTATAAGTCAATCGCAAAGAAACAGAAAACAAAAACAAACCGAAAAGTAAGTCTTAATGTTTTCTTTGCATAAACTTTTACTTAAAATACACCGCCTATGATTTTTGATACATATATATACGTTTTTATTTGATACATGACACTATAAATGTGGACATGGGTATGATAGTTGACTGAAGCTCAAAGCGGACTAAATTAAAAGCTTTAATTGAAGCTGTAAACAGAGCTTTTAGTTGAAAAGTAGCCAAGAATTTGTATTATTTTTCAAAAATGTATGAACTACACGCATTTGTTTTTGAGTTTTGAAACAGCACACATACACGGACATACACATAGACACATTGCCACCCATATATACATTTATATGTTATAGTTTATCAAAGAATAAAGTTAAACTCGCACAGATCGGATGCGCCCCTGTGCGACATATTTGGAATTGTTTTTTTGGATTTGTGTGTATTGATTATATTTTATATAGAAATTATTTATATACATATATTGTATATATATGTATAGTATATATACATATGTATAGATATATATATATTGTAATGTGACATTCATTTCACAACAGAATTCATTTTGTTTTTGGTAGCGTTTTAATGTATATAACAAAATTCAAGCAAAACAGAAATTTGATTTGAAAACAAAATTTAGTGAAAACGGTTTAACAGCTCTAGAGTATTAGTACAAACATAAACTGTAGACGCAGAGAATTGTATTTAGTTATAGCCATGTTAATACACCTCTTCACTCTTCTCGTCACACAGTGAGAAAACAAAAAGACGATATGCAGGTCAATGTCGCCGGACTACGAAGAAACATCAAAAATCTCGCGCACAACTATTCGGATGCACAGGTAAGTCAATTTATTAATATCTATTGCATTATCCACATTACTCACGAATGACTGTTCAATTGTTAGGTTAAGGTGCGCGAGGCAACTTCCAATGATCCATGGGGGCCATCGGCCACAATTATGGCCGAAATAGCCGACTTGACGTACAATGTTGTTGCCTTTTCGGAGATAATGCAAATGATATGGAAACGCTTGAATGACCATGGCAAGAATTGGCGGCATGTCTATAAGGCGCTCATACTGCTCGAGTATCTGATTAAAACGGGCACAGAGAAGGTGGCCCAGCAGTGCAAGGAGAATATATTTGCCATACAAACGTTGCGTGAGTTTGTCTACTTTGAGGAGGGCAAGGATCAGGGCACGCATGTGCGCGAGAAGGCCAAACAATTGGTAAACCTGCTCAAGGACGATGAAAGGCTCAAGAACGAGCGTGTTAAGGCGTTGAAAGCCAAAGAGCGCTTTGCTCTACATCCGAGTGGCTTTGGCAGCGATGGGTACATTGATGGACCCTCACAGCGTGACATGCCGCCGGGCTGGCAAGAGGAGCCGCCCAAAAATGCATCCGAGCTGGAAATGGTACGTCCACAAACCGCTGGTGAGGAGGAGCTGCAGTTGCAGCTTGCGATGGCCATGTCGCGGGAGGAAGCCGAACAGGAAGAAGCCAAAAGGCGCAGCGACGATGTGCGTCTGCAATTAGCACTCAGCCAGAGCGAGCAGGACTTCAAGTAAGGATAATCAAACGACTTCTATATTCCTTAGTTAATAATATTCTTGCTTTCATAGGGATTCAAGTGGCCGACCCATACCGGCGCCTAAGAAGGAGGAGCAACAGAGCCATTTGCTAGACTTGCTGGACATCTCGCTGGGCGCGACAAGCATTTCGAGTCCACCAATGGGCGCTGCTGGCGGCGCCGCTGCTGTTGTCGATCCCTGGGCTGCACCCTCTAACCGTGCAGCTAGTCAACTGTCAGATCCTTGGGCTGGCGCTGCCGCCTCGCCCCATGTCGATCCGTGGCATCCCGCGGCTGCTCCACGTACGATTATGAGTGCAGGTGTGCCGCTAGGAGCAGCTGCGCAGGCGCCGCCTCAACCTATTAGCGCAACTGGCGATGCTTGGGGCCTGCGCACACAGTCGCCATCCTTGGCGTCTGGCTCCTCCAACGAGGGCTGGCTACAAACGAATGGCAATGCCAACCAAAATGGTCGTATAGCTGCACCAGCGCCTGTGGACGCGTGGTTGACAAAAACAGCAGTCAGCCCCGTATTGGCAGCTGCTCCAACCACAACACATGCGGCGAGCAATGGTAGCTCTGGGGATCCTTGGCTGAGTGAAGTACAGCCAGCAGCAGCTGCAGCGCCAGCTGCTTCTGCCGATCCCTGGGCAGCAGCACAACCAAGTGCAGCTACCTTAGATGATCCTTGGAAGGCAATGCAAACAGGCGCCATTAAGGTAAGTGTCTATACATCGATGACAAACGCTTTAAGCTAATCGCTTCTCTTGTCTCGCAGAAACAATCACCCGACTTTGATGAGTTTGATTTGATCACCAATCGCAATAAAAGTGCCGAACACAACAATTCGAATGCCTCCAATAACAACAATGGTTTGTGAACGTAATGCTTAATGGATTCAATGAGTAACTAGTTTTAATTGCTCGACAGCTTCGCTGCTGGACGATATGGATCCGCTTTCGACAAACTATGGCAACAACAGCGGCTCAATGCATCCATCAACAGGAGCCACCACAAAGAAGCCCTATCGTGATCCGCTTGCATTCCTTGGCGAAAATTCAGCGCTGGTCAATTTGGATAATCTAATTAAGCCAAATACGCCGCAGACACAGTCAGGACTTGCGCCCGCCTACAATCCATTTGCGGACAACGTGATGCCACCCAAAACGAATCTATTCCAGCAGCAGCAGCCAGCCGTAAATACGACTAGAAACTCTCTGGAAACTATTATCTAATTATTGTTGTTATTAATCAAACCAGGTGCCGTCCATCAATCAATTGAAACAACAGCCGCCCTTTCCCGTCAACATGAATCAGGATCCATGGGCGCCGGTTACCGGTGGAGTCAGTGCAGCCTCCCAGGTGAGTGTGCAAGCGTGTGTGTACGATTGTTTAGGCATATTTAACTGTATATATATATCTATATATTTATATATATATATATATAAATATATATGTATATATATATATATTATTTGAGATTTTCTGCGATTAGTCTAATCATTTTTATGGGTAATTCTTTTACTTTACTTTTCTACTATTATCGTTTCCTCTCTTTCTCTTCATTGCATTTTGTTTCCTCTTAAACGTACATTTGTTTTGCTTTTACATTATGAGCAACTGTTGCATGCAACAATTAAAATCCAAATCGATTTGAATCATAGCCCAATCCCTTAAAGCCGCTGCGTCCGACTAGTTTGCAGCTAATAGACGACTTTCAGCCGATGAGCGCATTCAATAAACCCCCTACCCTGTCCCGTCCACAGCAGATGTTCTTCAACGCCAGCAATAATAATAACAACAACAGCAAGAACAACAACAACAATCCACAGAGCGACAACAACAATGCCTATACTCATAGCTATGGTTACAATAGTCCCCACATTGACAATATACGCAACATGGATATATTGGGCGAATCGCCATTGCAGCATTCATATTTTGTCAGCCCCTCGGCCCCATCGCCCTCTATTCAGTTTGGGAGCAGCAGTTACAACACTCCTAGCTATTCTCCCTATACGCATAGCTACAGCAGCGCCCTTTCAGAATCATTGGCCGATACGCCAGGCGTGAGCATTTCACCATTGAGCTATGAGAGCAGCCAAATGGCGCACCCTAGTGGCATCTATGGCAATCCAAATGAAACCATGGGCGGCAACTACTACAAATTGGAAGTGAGTTGGAGACTCGTAGCCGTATTCTGTTGTTCGTCGTTCTGCAGTTGTCCTTATTGATGCTATTTGATATTGCCAGAAACAGAAACAGATTTGCGATTTGTTGTTGCTTTGCTTGAGTTTAATTTAGTTTGCTGTTTGTTTATGATTTGAATTTTTTTTGTTGATTTTTTCTTTGTATGATTTTCTTAAACAACTGCTAGAGAATGCCCTTAATGCGCCAGGGAATGAAACTGTATTAACTATCTGCTTACTTAATCCATATAACTAAGCCAAATCCCAAAATTTGGATTATATAATTCCTTAAGGCTTCTTTAAACTTCTATGTTACCAAAAACTTGAATGATTTTCTTGAGAAATAACTCTTTGTCACGCTGTGAACTCTAGTTATAACTATAAATTCTATAACTATAAATTTCCATGCCAAAACTGAGTGCAGAACTGCAAACTCATCATCTGGCCAAATTTGAACAATTTCTTCAATCTCTACGGTTTCATTCCCTGCCTATCGCTCTCTGTTTAATACGTCTTAAATACTTGAGTAATCATTGTTAACAAGCAGCTGCTATCTGCTGAAGAGAAACAAAAAACACAGTTGATCATAATATTTTCTAATTGTAGCCAACAATGGAGGCTTGGACGCTTAAATAAAACACAAACAATAATGCAATAATATGCAAAAAATACAATGCAAATGGGTAAAATGTTTTTTCGAATGTGCATGCTCTGCTATCCAAATAATACTAGAAACTAAAGCCACAAATGCCCGATAGTTGGCAAAAAAAAACAAAAATAAAAACTTATACTAAACACTAAACTAACCAACTAATTGAACGTAGCTGCTAGCAACTGCATGTAGATAGTTTTGCTTAGTTTAGCGCCAATGTACGAGACACTTTAGAATTGTTTAAACTAATATTTGAAATTGGATTCTTACAGCAAAACAACAACATGCCGTGGATAAAGCCGGAGGCAGCCGCAACGAATCCGTTTTTGTCATAAGGAGTCAATCAATCAATCAACACAATAATATTAATCAGCAGCATGAGCAACAGCAGCAACTAATAGCAGCTAACACCACAACAGCAACCACACTTTGACGGGGTACAGGAACACGAAGAAGAACAACAACAACCATAGAGTAGCAATAGAAGCAAACTGAAAATATGAAATAACTAAAAACAAAATTATGTGTAAGAAAGTATTATTAAACTGTAAAATATGTGATGTGTTGTTTCAGTAAACAACTACAACAACCAGCAACAACAACAACAGCAGCTGCAACAGAAACAAACAGAGTTACGTGCAATGTGTAGGCTTCAACAGTTTTTTTTTAATAGGTTCTCTCTCTGTCTCTGTCTGGCTTTTAAACATATTGTAATAGAAATCAACTCCAAATGTATAGTTAATAATAATAATAATATGAGCAACAACAGCACTGAGGGTCTTCAGCCTAAGCATGAACAATTGTAAACGATCCATATTCGAGTCAAGTCCCCCGATTGGCTGCCTATTCATAATTTATTTCATAGCTGTTAAATGTTGTTGTTGTTGAAACCAAAAAGGAATGGAAGAAGAAAACATTTGAAGGATCGGTTCAGATCAGAAATTGAATTGTTATATAGCTTTAAAAAACAAATTAATAATCTGTGCATTGTCGAGAGGATATTCACATTAACAACAACCGCAACAACAACAACAACAACAACAAACATTTTTGTGTCTGTGCTTTATAATTGTAAAATTTTTTAAAAACATTTTACGTTTTTTGCGACATTTGTTTTAAAACGCTAAAAAACAAAACGTAAAAACGAAAAGTTAAATTTTTTTAAAATACATTTTTATGAAATTTTTCAAAAAAAAAAAACAAGAAAAGAAAAGAAAAATAGAATTTATGTGCGTTTTGTGTTTTTGGCCACCTTTCAAAAACAAAATGCAATGCATATATAATTTTGCTGTTGAACATTTTTATAGCAAATAGTTTAAAATTTACAACAAAAACAAAAATGCAAAAATATATAAACAAAATATTATTATTAATAAATGCTAAACAAAAGAAATGGTATACATTTAGGTTAGAATACGTAAAATTTGTCTAAGCGTAACTTAATGATAAAAACAACAAAATATAAAGTAAAACAACAACAACTGATGTGGAAATGCTTAAAGAGATTTACACGCATATACATATATATTATATATATACATATAGCTAAACATACACAACACATATACATATATATACACACGTGCTAAAAACAAAAGTAAAATTTAAAGCATATTTTCATAAAATTAAAAACTTTATTTTAACAAAACAAACGAGAGACACTCCAAACATACAAACTTCGGATGCTCGCATTGCACAACAGTGGGGCAAAAGTGCTAAACGCTTGCATCGGGACAGTTTCGCCTTCGCCTTTGCCTTCTCCTTTCGCCCCATTCCCAACGTCAGCTCACATCCTCATCTCGCATGCCCAGCAGCCACCACTTGACAGCCATCGCCAGCTCTCAACACTTTGCTCTAGCATGGAGGGGGGGACAGGGTATAGGCAGAGGCTGAGCACGATTATGTTAATTCCAGGAGGGGGCGCAGCATCCAAAGCAGCAGCAGCATTAACGGAGCACGCCCACCGCATATGGCAGTGATATTTTGGATGCTACGTGAGTGGTGGATGTGAATGTGGTGGTGGTGGTGCTGGATGTGGATGTGGATGTGGTGTTGCGCAAGTGGCTGGCCGACGCGATTTGGTTTTGATATTTGACATGCGCTGGGGGCCATCAGGAAACTTCGTTTAAATGAAATCAAAAGTGCACAAATACATAATTTACACAAATTTCCAAGCAGCCTAAAAAAGCAGAAAACAAAACGAATGGAAAAAATGGTAAAAATATCTGAGGAGTTGCTGAATATTGATGTTAGATCAAGGAAGGAAGATGAGAGCTCAAATAAGTGGGTAAGTTTTACAAATACGAATCAAATTACTGAAAGATTTTTGACGCGGTGAAATGAACGTTGAAATACCCTAGAAATTTTCATTATCCCATATATATAAATATATCTTTTATATATATATATATCAAAGACTTAGCCCAGCTTCACTTTGTCATCTTAGCCAGAGACCCTAAACCTTATTTATATTAATAAATTTCTTAGCAGATTTGTTATTTATAATAGGTTTCCCATATTTATTCTGATTCAAGGTGAAAGCTTAAGAGTATCGCTCTATAACACTGCGTATCCAGCCGTTGTATCTCTTCACGTTCACATAAACGCCCGGATAGTTGCGATTCGCGCAGCCAATGCCAAAGGAGACGACGCCGTAGAGCGTGCGGCCAGATGCCAACGGTCCGCCCGAATCGCCGGAGCAGCTGTCGTGGCCCAAACGCTGGGCGCACAGCATCTGCCGGTAAATGCGCACGCCACCTCTGCGATACATGCGGTCACAACGACTGGCTGATACCCTGCACACGGATGTGGCGCGCAGATAGCGCTGCACATTCTGTGCCGTCTCCTTGCGCAGACCCCAGCCGCTGACCAGTAGGCAGCGAGGCGGCGCCTGTCGCTTGCTGCTGCTGGGCAGACGCACTGGCTGCACACAGCGACCATAGCTAAGGGGTGTGGCCAAGCGCAATAAAGCCAAATCGTTCTGCATGCTCCTCCTGTTGTAGTTGGCGTGCATCACAACTGACTTGACCCGATGCAGCTGCCCGCCACGCGGCTGTTGCGTCGAGCCCACGCGCACTCGATAGCGCCCTCTCTGGCCGTCCACACAGTGGGCCGCTGTGAGTATCCAATAACGGGATAAGATGCTGCCGCCACAGATGAACTGACCCTCGTAGCGTAAGGCCGCCTGGTAGGGTGCCCGCTGGCAGGATATACGCACGCCATTAACAATGCGCGTGGGCAGCAGTTCGAGGTGCTCTATAGCATTGATGTGCGGATTACTGGAGATGTTGTACAGCTGGGAGGCTGCAGTGAGAACCGAGCCAAGCAGCAGTAGCAGTCTTAAAATTATCGCCATGTCCAAACTGTTCGGCGCGACTTTCGCTTAACAACTGACAGAATCCAGTTTAGAGAATCTTCGATATGCAAACGTTCGCCCAAGTTTGCCTAATTAAAATTTGCATTTGTTCCACATTTCTGGCTCTGGCATAAATTTCTACTCGTTTTTATGTTAAGAGCATCGTCGAACTCTTCGACGTGATGTAATTGTTTGCGAAAGTGAAATGAGCCAGAGTCAAGAGATCTAATGAATTTTATGCTTTTGCGATTGCCTTTTGGCAAATGCCTCAATAATTGTTGGCTTCGCTGGCTGGCGCATAAATCTTGCGTGCTTTGGCTGCTTTTTTGTGGAACTACATGGACATCGGCTACTGTTTTTCTACGGCTCTTTTTGTGTCCATTTTTGGTAGGGCGACGCTTCCGCATGGCACATGCCAGCGAGACACAACAATAAAACGATTAATTTCATGTAAATTTTTGCGCAATTTAATTATGTGCGAAATCTCAGCTAGACAATGCAGGAGCTCTGAGAGAAGTGGGCAATGGAGCTGGGGGGATGCTGTGTAGGCGGCTAGGAATAATTAGGCGCTCGCTGTGCAGAAAGTGAAAGGAGCAACACAGCCAGGCTGCAGCCAATGACGATGATGATGATGATGATGATGACGATGATGATGATGATTATGTAAACATAGCGTAATTCATTAGCTAAGTGCGTATGTAAATTTTTTGCAGTATTAAGACATCGATAAAAAGCATTTATCGACTACGAGTTGTATGAAAATTGATATAAATTATCAAAGGCAGCATTAACTCGAGATTTTGGAAAGCTTTTAGAAGCTTTTTCACACATTTAGTTATATTTTTAAAGCTATTTTTCCTTCGATTTACATTAGCTGAAAGCTTTCGTAGCTTTTGCAATTTCGTAGCTACTTTTTATGATTAATAGGCCATGAAATGAATAACAGATCTTCAGAGGTAAAACAGAGCTCTGCTTAAAGCTTGTGAAAGCTTCAAAGAGCTTTTTCCCTAATGGTTTCTTAACATTAATTAGGCATAAATATAAGCCACATTTAGTGAGCATGGCAAACCTAATTTAAATAAAGTCATAAACTAAGCGACTTTCGGTAAGCTTTTCACGAACTTCGGCGATGTGTTTGCATATTAAAGATTAATTAAGCATGAAATGAATAACATTTTCGGTGAGCATAACATTTTTAGGGTTAAATAGGGCAGCTGCGTGCTCGCATTTGCCATTTCGGCTTACGTATGTGGAGAGATGGAGAGGAAAAGAAGAAAAATAGAGGCAACTGCAGCGCTAAAGCCATGAAAAATTGCAATTTGTATGGTTTAATTAAAAAATCTGTCAAATGCCAGTTTGTGCGCTCATTAATGAGTTTCTATGGCAGCTGGGAAGGCGACGGCAGCTACACTTAACCACTCAGCCCCGAAGCAACAACAAAATCATGCTTGACATAGCGTGAACTCCGCATAACCGACAGCCTACCTATACAAATACCTATATACAGAAATATCTATAAATATATATATATATATATATATATATATATATATATATATATATATATATATATATATATATATATATATATATATATATATATATATATATATATATATATATATATATATATATATATATATATATATATATATATATATATATATATGTACATATATAGTTAGTTGTGTTTGTTTTTAGATATTTGTGTTGATATGTTGAGCTCACGTTGATGCGACTGCTGGCTATGTTGCCTGCACCTTTGACAAAACAAAAGACTGAGGCAACAAACTTTATTATTATTATTTTCCATACCCATTGAATTGGTTTAAAAAGGGTTTCATGTTTTTTTTTTGCCAATTTGGGCAAGTGGTTGAGGTAGGGAGGGCGTGGCTAACAATATAAATATGGAGTTTCTGATCTAGCTGAGTTGATGGACTGAATCAATTTGAGTTGTTTGAGTCTCCTTGCTTTCTTACATAAGTTCAAGTTCTAGTTCTATTTTTTATGGATATTTCATCAATATATATCTATTATTACTATTGTCTTAAAATCGATAAATATAGATAGATATTTAAATATCGATAGATATAGATATCTTAAGTTCAAGCATAACTTAAAGATATGACTTAGGAATCTAATATTGGTTCTCTAGTTTCTTTTAATTATAATCCAGATTCCTTCAGTATTTTATATACAAATCAAACAATTATATTCAAAACTAAGGGTATACTCAAGTCGAGCAGTCTCAGCTAAGTCACTTCTTTTCCTTCATATATATAAATACATATTTATATAGTGATACTTTGTTGCCTGTCGGCTCTTGCATAATACACGCTTTGTATGTTTGCTAGCAACTGACATGAGCCGCTTCTAAGCGCGCCAAATTGATTTTTAATTATGGGTTGTCAAGAGTTGAAAATATAAACGAGATGAGAATCGCATTTCTGGGAAATCAATCCTTGAGCGCATTCGCAAGCTGCTTTGGCTTGGCTTGTGAACTTCAGAACTAACAAAAAGATTTTTGCTGAATTGAAATATTCGAAGGCAGCTGGTGAGGGAACTGACAAGCTTTAAATCGCGTGTCTTCTAATGATAGCCGGATACTATACTATTTTTGGACGTGAAATTCTGAATAATGATGATATATATGTGAAAGAAAGGATAAATTGTTAGATATACAAAGCAGTCGTGAAATATGAAGGTTTTGTATACCATTGAAAGTAGATGAGACTAATTTGGCTTACTAAGAATCAAGCTGAAAAAGCTTACTAAGCAGTCTTGGGGTTCTTCAAATGAGGAAAATTTTTTAATTACAAAATAAAATTCTATAGAGAATATTTTATTAACAAATAGTATTTATTTTTTTATTAAATGAAATACAATTATTCAGATTTTAAATTTACTAGAAAATTAAACTAGAACAAAATTTAAATGAGATTTTTCTTAAATGAGTTTTTGGTTAGTTTTTATTAAAAAGTATTTTTAAAATGAAGGTATAAACAAAAGAAAAGACTATTAATGGACTGCTAAACATAGATTGTCTACAAGAAAATCATGTCATGTGGCTTAAATTGAGAAAGAGTTTATTTTTGAATGCCAAATAAATTTATTTTATTTAAAAAAAAAAATTAGTTTAAATTTAGTAAATTTCTTATATAAATAAAACATAATTCTACAAGCTCAGTTACTCATAAACTAATATATGACCTAGAATATATACCTATAAATTATATCATATATACAATTATATCTATAGAAAATTATGTATTTGAATATAGTTCGAATAACTTCATATAGCTCACTTGATAGATTCATATATAATCTTTCCTAAACAGTCTCTGCTAGTTTATAACTGGCTTCTGCGCAGTCTGCTGCCATCAGTCACTAGACACAGCTAATGCAACTATCTCCCGCTCCACTGTTTAGCTAACAAATTTCCCATAGTTCTTCATATTTAATGAAGCCAGACTCGAAAGCAGCCGCACTTCCACAATTAAGCTGTTCATTTGAAATATATGACAACTTTCCTTTTTTGTTGAAGAAAACAGATTTTTTTACGAACGCCGCCAGCAATAATTGAAACATATTGAGTTGTTTATATTGTAGTATATGTAGTTTGTGGCATCAAATCGCCACGGAGCGACACTTGAGCACGAGAGACCAGAAAATAGTCAGAAATTTCACCTATTTGGCACGTTCCGTCGAAGCAAATAAAGAAGCGAATATGCCACTTGGCTGGCTGAGGCAAATGTTAGTTAATCATTTAATTTGAGCGTTTTTGCTGCCAGCTTAACACTCGGCTTCTCAGGCATATCAAATAATTATCAGACGAAGCCATCAGACGAGTCGATAACAGATTGCAGAGGCAGTCAGGCAGGCACACCTTGTTGCAAGTAGCCCCGCCCCCGTTTCGGAAAATTGTGACATTTAGACACAACAAATCAAGGCATGAGACTCCTCGACTTGGGCATATTTCGGTGTCAATGGGTGTATAGAAATCGAAAGTTTCACACTTGTCAATTAAGTGTACCAAAGTTGTTGTCTCAGTTGCTGTTGCTGTTGCTGTTGCTGTTGCTGCTGCTCTTGTTGTTGTTGGCCAGCCTCATCTGGCGAAGTGCAGTTGAAAAGCGGCTGTCAATGAAAATGAAATTTTATTGAGATTTTTTTATTTCGAAATTAATTAGAAAAGTGCCCCGATGTGCGTGGCTCTGTGTGTGTGTGTGAGTTTTGGTAGCTTAATTGCTTTGACGTGTGCGACTGACTGTGCGTGTGTGTGTGTGTGTGTGGTTATATAAGTCGTAAAATATATAAGCCATAATAATCTGGTATTGAAAAAACGACTATCACTTTTACTATCACTCGTTGCGCCGCATCAACTTAACAAGCAAATATCATTCCGGCTGCACTTCTAAACGATTCTACACAGTGAAAGCGATCGTGTTTGGAATTGGACAGGGGCCACCAGGAGTTGGGGCCATGTTGACAATGTTGCCATGCGCCTTGCTGCTTATGCAATCTCATCCATCAGTCAGTCAGTCTGGCAGCATGATAGGCAACTTCAGCGGCTCATTAAACTGAGCATAATTGCTGTTAAGTACATGTAAGCACAGACCGGGGCACATAAATGGGCACAGTCGGCTCGCTGAGAGAGTGTTAATGAGTGAGAGGAGCAAATGATTTATTTGAATTTGTATGCTAAGAATTGTGTAAGGAAAAATGTAGGTAGAACAAAGCAGAGCATAATATGTATATAAGTATATATATATATATATATATATATATATATATTCATATTGATATATATATATAATATATATTTATCATTATAGTATTACATATTATTTTCATACGTTATAGTTCCTTTAGTTTCATCTCAGTTACTCTGTCAATGTTCCTTTAACACACACCTCAGAAATTTGCATATGAAATTGTCTCACGTGTACTTATTATGTTGCCCATGGCTGTATATAGCATACAGTTAGCTGACCGCCGGTCCGTCTGCTCGTCTTGCCGTCCATCTGTCTGACTATTTTCACATGGGCGACCGGTTGCATTTCAATAACCAAACTTGGCTTAAATAATGCACTCGCACTTTTACTTACAAATC